GGAAAGGTTGGCGGAGGGGGGCTATTTTGGGAGCGTCTCCTTAGCAACAGCTGCCACGGCCGTCTGTGGCGGTTTTTCTATAGGTGCTAAAATATTCCACCCTGGTGACTACTGAGTGCTGGGGGGTGGGCGAGGGTGGGAGCGGAGGGCGGGAGAGACCCCTAGAGTCCTCTGTGCCCAGGGCCCAGCTTGCTAGGATGGGTCCTCTGGACCCCCAATTCCCCTTTCCCCACCTCCGGTCCTCACCCCTCAGGGCTGCTAGGACTTTAGAGCTCTGAGGCAGGCCAGCTGTGTCCTGGTGTGATTTCTAATCTAAGCAGCTGAGCTGTCTCAGTTTGCCCCATCTGTAGAATGGGCTTGTCTGACTTTAAGGAGCTCTCTGGGCCAGTAACCTCTGGACCCTGTGGCTCTGGCATTTTGTTTTGTTTTTTAATTTTAATTTTTTTAACATCTTTATTGGAGTATGATTGCTTTACAATGGTGTGTTAGTTTCTGCCGTATAACAAAGTGAATCAGCTATATGTACACATATAACCCCGTATCCCCTCCCTCTTGCATCTCCCTCCCACCCTCCCTATCCCACCCCCCTAGGTGGTCACAAAGCACCGAGCTGATCTCCCTGTGCTATGTGGCTGCTTCCCACTAGCTGTTTTACATTTGGTAGTGTATATATGTCCATGTCACTCTCTCACTTCATCCCAGCTTACCCTTCCCCCTCTCTGTGTCCACAAGTCCATTCTCTACTTTATTCCCGTCTTGCCCCTAGGTTCTTCAGAACCTTTTTTTTTTTTAGATTCCATATATACGTGTTACATACAGTATTTGTTTTTCTCTTTCGGCTCTGGCATTTTGAGGTGGACTTTTCCCTCCCCTCCCCAGCTGTCCCACCTGCCTGGCCCAAGTCCCCTTCCCCTCCAGCCCTCCCAGCCCTCTGCACAAGCTCTCCGGGCCCCTGTGGGACCAGGGAGGCCTGGCTGGGCTGCCAGAGTGAGCCAGTTAGTGGGTGCTCTGATGGCCTGGGATGACCTTTCCCCAGAAACTAGGAGCAGGTTCAAATCACGGCTCAGATACTTGCTTACTCCCTCAGTGACCCCAGGAAAGGGTCTTCCTCTCTCCAGGTTTCTTTGTTTGTTTGTTTGTCTTCCTCCAGGTTTCTTACCTGTGAAACTCAGCGAGTTGTTATGAGGGTCAAATGGGAGAATGGAGAACGGGCAGGAAGCTTTGGCGAAATGTACAGATGGACGAAGGTTTCTACTGTCATTTCCATCAAACTTCAGAGCAAGTCTCCCCTTGCAGAGAGTTTTTCCTCGCCACCCGGGCCATGCCACATGCCTCAGTTTCCCCATTGGTAGCAAGTGCGGTGTCATAGAGTTCTTGTGAGGATTAAATGAGACAATGCTCTTGAAGGTCTAGAGCAGTGCTGCCTGATGACAGTCACTAAGGAGATGCTTGTTCTCTGCCCTCCATCCCGGGGGGCTTCTGCGTTAGATGATGACAAAGGCTATTTGCCCTTTGGGGCCCTGGTCCAGACTATCCCATTACAGATGAGGCCTCTGAGGTCCAGTGAGGACAAGCAACTTGCCCAGGGTCACCCAGGTTCCGACACCCAAGTCTACCGCCCACACCCGTGCAGCCTCTGCACACCTGTCTCCCTGCCTCCCCACCCTCCTCCCCACCCCTGCCCCGCACACGGCTAGAAGCTACTTAAACAAAATTCTTCCTTTAGTCTTTAATCACCCTCAGAGGGCTTCCCTGGTGGCTCAGTGGTTAAGAATCCGCCTGCCATTGCAGGGGACACGGGTTCGAGCCCTGGTCCGGGAAGATCCCACATGCTGCGGAGCAACTAAGCCTGTGCGCCACAACTACTGAGCCTGCGCTCTAGAGCCCACAACTACTGAGCCCATGTGCCACAACTACTGAGCCTGTGCTCTAGAGCCCGTGCTCCGCAACAAGAGAAGCCACCGCAATGAGAAGCCAGCGCACTGCAACGATGAGTGGCCCCCGCTCGCCGCAACTAGAGAAAGCCTGCGCACAGCAACGAAGACCCAACACAGCCAAAAAGAAATAAATTTTTAAAAAAATCATCCTCAGAACATCCCCTTAAAGTGGATACTGTCCTCCCCACTTTACATATGAGGAAACTGAGGCCCAAAGAGGACAGATGAGCTGCCCAGAGTCACACAGGGGTGGATGGTAGAGAAGAGACTCTTTTTTCTGGGGTCCATGAAGCTCTCCCTGCCTGGAGCTGTCCTTTCTGCCTCTCCCCACTTCCTTCCAGTCCACCCTCAGCCTCCACAGGACTCTCCTTACAGGAGATGAGCAATGGGGGCTGCAGTCTGCAGCCCCAGGCCTAGCAAGGGGACCATCACCAGTTGCTTCCTCTCAACCCCTGTGTCGTCACAGCCACCAGGCCTCCTCCTCCTCTTTCCCTGAACTCACTGCTCCTGAGCCCCCATTCTTTCCTTAAACTGGTGCCCAGGGACCTAACATTGGGTTTGATCCCATGGGAAAAGATGCTCTAGGTCTAAAGACACCCTTGTCTCCATCTCCCCCTTCTTGCTGCCCCTCCTCCTTCCCCTGTACCCCACACTCCCAGGGCAGCCACCAGGCCAGGCCTCTGGCCAGGTGAAGAGACCACAGGCCATTTGCCTCACCTGCATCCTCCCACTTCCAATTCATGGAAAGGTATGATAGGTACCAGGCACACATGGCCGCTGACCCAGCGTTCAGATTGCTTGAGTTCCCCCACCCATTCACACACCAAAGACTCATTCCATGGAACATCAGTCCTGGTTGCCGCCCTGTGAGGACACAGCAGGGTAATGAGGAAGAGGGCATGGAATGGGATACGTGCTGTGCGGCTCTGCACAGCGTTGAAGGGAGGACCGAGAAGGGATGGTCACGTTTATTGAGCACCGACTATCAGCTGTGCATTCCTTGTGCATCCACCTCACTTGATCTGCACCTGTGAGGCGAGGGACAGTGAGGGTCCTCATTTTATAGACAGGTTAAATAGAAAATTTGCTCAAGGTCATGAAGCTCCATGTGCCGTTAAGCCCAGGTTGGCCTGACTCCCAAGCCTACTTAACAAGAACCAAACTTGTGCCCGGTGCTGGATGAGTGAATGAGTAGGTGAGGGCAGCAGGAGGGCTTCCTAGGGGAGGTGGCGTGGAGGCTGAACTGGGGAACAGCAGGAATTCTCAGAGCAGAGAAGGAGGAAGGGCATTTCAGGCAGGAAGAACAGCATGTGCAAAGGCAGAGGTGTGGAAGCATCTGGTGTGTTCTGGAATCTATAGGAATCAGGATGTATGTGTGGGTACATGGGGTGTGGGATAAGGTGGGACCTGACTGTACCTCACGCTGAGGGGTTGGGACTGGATCCTTTCAGGTGAGGGGGCTCTGCGGGGGTTGGACACCGTCATGGTGGTTCACGTGCTGTGGTTCCTGTGCCTGATGCAACTTCAGAGGATCAGCTTGAAGGCACAGCAGGAGATTTTATATTCAATAAATTCTCAATCCAGCTTTGGGATGCCTCAGTCTCCCTCTCTTAACTAGGACCAGTCAGAGATGGCCAGGCTCCCAGGTAAGTCCTTCTGGCTGTCTAACTGCAGGCATTCTCTCATCCTCCTACCCTGCATCCTCCAACCTCCCGCGTCCTCGGAGGGTTGGAGTGAGGTGCCAGGATCGCCACGGAAATGGCTGGCTCACCAGGGGCTGAGGCACGGGGTCCTCTCCCTGCAGTCCAGAGTGTGGGCCCAGACCTGAGCGCACTCAGGGCGAGAAGGAAAAGGGCGCGATCCTCCCTTATAAAGACACTTTGGGGTAATACGGACGCAGAGAGAGACTGGGATTTGACCCGCCTCTGCCACCTCTGGGTGACCTTGGGCAAGCCTGTGACCCTCTCTGGTACTCAGTCTCCCAGTCTGTAAAACGGGGCGGTGCTACCTAGCCGATTGTGAGGGTCATTCCAGCAGGTCCACACCTCCGTCTCCCGGAGCGGGGTGTGCAGGGTCCTTAACTGCCCGTTCTTCAGGAGGGAAAGGGGACCATAGAGGGGAGTGGCCCGGCGCTACCGAAGCCGGTAGCGACCCTCTCCCACCCACTCCCTTCCCAGCACGGAGGAACCCTCTCCACCTGCCCCTGGGGGGCGAGAAAACCCGGGAGCGCACCCTCGGAATGGGTTCTGGGAGGAGTGCTCCTGGGGGGAGGAGGAAAACCCGGGCAGGATCTCGGGCAGGAGCGGAGCACGCGGCCCCCAGCCCGTGCTCAGCCCGCGCGGCCGGCGGGTGGGAGGGGGTGTCATGCCTGGCTAGGCTGAGGAGAAGGGGCAGGGCCGGGCCCGGCGGGCCGCCCAGGGCTCCGGGGCTGGGGGTGGGGGCGCGCGGCCTCCGCAGTGGGGCGCGGGTCACGTGTGAGGAGGGGCGAAAGTCTCGCAAAGCCGGGCGGCGTGCCGCGAGTTGGGAGTTCTCGGCGCGCCGCGGGCGGCGGGAGCTCGGGCTCCCGGGCAAGCCGGGGACGCGGCAGAGGCGGGGGCCTGGGTCCGAGACCGCGGGGGCCGCACCGAGAGTGGGAGGGAGGGAGAGAGACAGAGGCAGGGACCGGAGCGAGACAGAGACGCGCAGGGGAGAGACAGGGCAGGGGTAGAGGAAGGCAGGGGACAGACTGGGAAGGCGACGGAGACGAAGACAGGGACCCGCAGGGAGAGACCGAGAGACCGACTGGGGCAGGAGAGACCGGGAGAAACAGAGAGCCGAGGGCGCGGCGGGGGAGGTGGCGGCAGAGCCGGGGCTGGCCGGCCGCGGGGGTCTCGGGGCCAGAGGCGAGCGCAGCGGGGCAGGGAGCGGAGCGCAGGGCGGGGGACAGCGCGGAGTGACAGCGAGAGAACAGTGGGGGCGGCGGAGGGAAGGAGCCTGCGGCGGGGGCGGGGGGCGCCAGCGCCATGGGTCCCCGGACCCTCGCGCTCTGAGCCCCGGCCCGGGGCCCGACGATGCTGAAGCCGAGGCGGCGCCGAGGGCGCGGCGCGGGGCAGCGCTGAAAGTTGGGCGGCCCGCGGGGAGCGGCGCGGGACGGCCCGGAGACCGCGAGACCCGGGGACCGACGGACAGACCCACAGGCAGCCGGGGAGGGGGGGCGGGGCCGGCCCACCGAGTTCGCGGGGAGTGGGCGCCGGGACACCCTTCTCCCCGCCCGGGACGCCGCCCGCCCGACTGCGCCTGGGATGTAGCGCCCGTTCGCCGCCTCCCGGAGACTCGTCGGACCCTGCGCCCCGCGGTAAGCCGGGCCCGCGCTCGCCGCTGGCGCTGTCCGTCGTCTGTCCGGCCGCGTGCGTGTCTGTGTGTCCCAGGGCCTGGCGGCTCGGTCCCCGCCCGCTCAGCACCTTATCCCTGACCCGGATTCCCGCGGCCAGGCGTGCGTTCAGCGCGGTCAGGCGACTCCCCGGGACCTGGTGAGCTCTGTCCTCTGTCCGTCGTCGTCGTCGTCGGGAGCGTTGAGATTGGGTTTCTGCCAGGAAGGGGGGTAGAGGTGAGTGAAAGGGGCCTTGACCTTCTGCCCCGGCCATGACCTTTCCCTGCCTCTACCCACCCTCAGCTGTCACACTGGGTTGGAGGAGTTTCAAGGCAGGTGACTTGTGTCTCCTTTCCACCTCCCCAACTGCGGCCTGTTTGCAAATGGCCCTGACAACAAAATCCCACTTCTCATGTTTTGAGCACCTGCTTTGGACCCCAATACCCTAGGGTTGGTGGACAGGTATCCAGAGAAGAAGGCAGTTCACATTTCACAGTGATGGAGACAGGCTGTGCAGAGAGGCAAGACTGCTTTTCCCTTCCCAGACGGAGAACCCCAGGGAAAGAGAGGTCTGAACGAGCCCTGGAGTAGGGAAACTTCCCTGCAACCGTGCCGGTGCGCAGTGTCCCCCAACCAGCATCTACATGACACTTTTGCCCCCAGAGCCTAGGCTCTGGGATGGGGAGAGGGTGGGGGAGGGGGAGAGACAGGTGGAGGGTGGCCTGGCTGAGTTGGCAGGTGAGGGCCTCAAGAGAAGTAGGATGTCAAGAAGCAGGTTGAGGGAACGGGGAGCTGAGGGAGGGAGGCCTAAGAGCCACGCATGCAAGGCCCAGAGAGGAGCCAGACCTGTGTGTGTGTGTGTGTGTGTGTGTGTGTGTGTGTGTGTGTGTGTGTAAAATGTCTGTTCTGCTTCTCCCCCACATCCAGTCTTGTGACCTCCAGGGCTTTGGGGCTTTTTGGAGCTGTTGGCAGGATTTGGGGGGCCTGAGAGCCAAACGGTGGTCCTGGCTCGGCCTGGGATGAGGGGAACAAAACGTCGAAGATGGTGGTAGGATACAGGCTGAGGTGCAGCGTGGCAGGAGCAAAGGCTGTTGGCTGTTGAGCTGACCCACAGCCGAATGGGAGTCTGGAGGGCTGAACCTAGAATATTCTACTCTGTTCTCCACTGGGAGGATGGGCTCTTTCTGGGGTTTTCCACGCTGGGCAGTGGGCCTTGTATATCCTCCATTTAGGCTTCTAGAAACCATCTCAGCTAGCTGAGGAACCAGCACGGTGGACAAGTCACTCTCCTCCCTGACCCTCAACTTCCATATCTGTGGAATGAGGACACTCTTCCCTGTCCCACTGACCTCCAAGGGGAGGAGGGGGCGCCTGCGCTCAGATGAGCTGAGGGCTGTTCAGGCTGGGGAAGCACTGAACACATGGGAGTAAGGACTCATCTTACCTTTGGAAAGATGCACAGCTAATGGAGAGAGGGGAATATGGCCTGAAATAAGGCTGACCAAGAACGGGAGTACCCAGAATTAGAGGGGGGAGCTGGGGCTCGGGAGCTATTCCTCAGGAACCTTTGGGTTACCCTTGAAAGAGAAGCTCCTCTCCCATAAAAAGTGGTGGGGTGACTGGGAGCAGACAAAGCTGGCCTTGAATTTCTGCTGGGTGACCTTGGGCAGCTGGCCTGACCTCTCTGAGCCTCAGTTTCTTCAGCTGCAGAGTGGGGATGCTGGTACTGACTTCATTGGGTTGCCAAGTGATTTACAGACCACGTGAGGTCTCTGGAAGCAGCTGACACAAGCCTGGAGCACAGTAGGTTCTTAACAGACATTTGCGGAGCAGAGAATAAAGTAGCTTTAGGAGGTGCCGTGAAAAAATTTCTTAGCTTAGGATCTAGGAGGGAAGGGGAGGAGGAACAGTGTAGGCTTACAGGGCGGGCTGGTTCTTAATGTGGATCTGGGGGAGGCGGGGGCGTGTGCTGAGGGGGGTGTGAGGAGGAGGGGGCCCCTCTGCGGGGACCACTGAGTCACGAGGACATGTAAGCGACATGACAACCAGCAACATGGTAACCAGGAGACTAGCGGCGGTGGGAAATGGAGCTGGAGCGGTGTGTCGGGGGGGCAGGACTGGCAGCACCAGGCCTGGAGGGTCCCAGCAGCAGCCAGGCCGGCCTTGCAGAGTGAGGAGGGGAGGCCCCGAGGCCAGGTGGGCTGGGGAGGAGGTGGGGGCCGGCATCGAAGGAGGGAGGCATTCTGGGGTCTGCTGGGCAGGGGGCCTTCTCCTGCGCCTCCCCAGGCTCCTCGCTCCTCTCCTCCACATCTCCACTTTTCATGCCTCTCCCCCTAGGATGCCAAATTTGGCTCACGCAATCTGTCGTCTCTCTTCTGAGATTGGCATCGGGACCAAAGCCGAGTGCATTACATCACCACCGCTCCCCTTGCACGAGGAGAGAAGGAGAGGGAGGGACAGAGGGCTGGGGGGCAAGCGGCCAACCCTCAACTTTCTTTCCTGTCTTCCTGCTCACTCTTCCCCCTCAGTCCCAGGTGTTGGGGGCTTCCGGGAGCAGCCAGGCAGGGCCTTGATGCAGAACAAGGGCTCTAATCTCGGAGATCCCAGGGCAGGGCAGGTCAGGCCGTGTTGCTGTCCCCCGGGCTAGGCGAGGCCTGGGAGGCGGGGAGCCTGGGTTCAGGACCCCGATCTGTCATTGCTCTGCTGTGTGACCTTGGGCAGCCCCCTTACCCTCACCCCGTGCAGAGTCTACATCTGTATCGAGAACTGTTGGCCATTCAAGATCTTGATGACTCTCCTGAAAAAAGATGCCCTTGAGTCCCGCCGCTGTCCTGGGCACAGGGGAGGAGGCCTGAATTTTGAGTGGCTCTCTGTGACCTTGAGCAAGTGACTTTACCTCCTTATGCCTCCATCTCCTCACCTGTAAAATGGGGTGATAGAACCCTCAAAAGCCCTAGATGTGAAAGAGGTACTAGACATGAAAGAGGGGGACGGGGGAAGAGACAGGGTCTCTGGCATGAAACCGGACACTGAGGGGCCCCGCGGCTCCCGGCACGCTGGGCTGGAGGTGGGGGGCAGGCTGACACAGCCATTGGCAGGAGAGCGTTTCAGTTCAGACAGAAGGCTTGGCACTTAAATCACTGGTCTGATGCCCTTATTTTACGAAAGTGGAAACCGAAGCCCAGGGAGGGAAGTGGACCCCCCACCCCCACCCCGCCAAGGTCACGCTGATGGTTTGGGGGTGGAAGAAGAAGAGCTGGGGCCTGAACCCAGGGCTCCTGGCTCCCAGCCCTGCCTGGAAGTAGACAGAGAGACAGGCAGATACACACACCTCCTGTGGAAGACTGTGGCCAGCCCGGACAGGACCCGGGAGTTTTGAGGGCCCAGTTCTCACTTTGGCCCCCTCCCTGTTCCCTTCCTGCTCCCTGGCTGCCCCATCCTCACCGTCCCTGGCCATTATTCCCATCCCTCACTTGGTCTATTTGAAGAGCTCTCTTTCAGGCTCATTTTCAAGCCAGTTTCAGGCAGTCCCAGTTAGGGACAGGCTGGATTTGGGGTTCAGATGGAAGATTATGGCCCCTTCCAGAAGGTTCCCAGAGCTGGAGGTGCATCTGTGGCTGTTTTGTCAAGTAGTGAGCTCCTTATTCCCAGAGCTATTCAAGCAGAGCCGACTGAGCGATCTGCCCTGGTGACTCCTGCTTTATGGGGGAGGTTGAATAGCATCCCCACCTTCAAAATCGCGAGAGTCTTCGATACCCCCAGGAGGAGCCGGGAAGCAGCGCCCATCACTTACCGGCTTCCCAGTAAGGAAACTCACGTCGTTGTGCCAGGCATTGGGCTCGGAGCTTTTGCAAATTCCTTCTCATTTAACCCTCCCAGCAACCCCACAATGTCGAACTGAGGTCCCCGTGTTACAGATGGGGGAGCCACGGCTCAGAGAGTCTCTGTGATTTGCCCAAGGTCGCACAGCAGGGAAGTGGAGGAACCTGGGTCTGAGTCCGGGCCTGAGTCTGATTCTCCGGGGCTGTCCCTGGGACTTCCTTGAGGAAAGAGTGGAAAACGTCGTCCCTCCCCTGGGATGGGGCTTGGCAGGAGGTGGTGCGTCGCCCCAGAGCATGACACCCCCTCAGAGATCCCATGGGGGCTCTGTTCTGAAGACATAGAAATAGACATGCGCCCAAGGGGAGAACTCGTTTTACAAAGGGGAAGACTGAGGCTCAGAGACAAAGAATGGCCTGCCCAAAGCTGACTGGAGAGTTAGATATGAGCCAGGGCTCTGTCCCCTGTGCCAGTGGGCAAGGAGGGGCCTTTGGGCTGATGGTGGAGTGAGGTCTGGGACTGGGAGTGCAGACTGCTGGCTGCTTTGGCAGAGGGCTGAGAGTGCTGGCTCTAGGCTAGGGCCGTGGGTAAGGGAGCCAGCCTTGGGAACAGGGAGGAGGAAGCAGGAAGAGAAACCAGCAGGGATAGCAGGTCCACCTCTGTCCTCCCTGGTCCTGCCCCAGGGCCATCCACAGATGTCAGTGTCATACAGCCTGTGAGGTCAGGAGGAACTGTAGATGGGACCTGTCTGGCAAGAGAGGGCCTTGGAGCCAGCAGCCTTGGGTGTGGCTCCCTGTGTGACCTTAGGTCAGTTCCTCACCCTCTCTGAGCTTAGTACGCCCATCTGCGTGGTCAAGAATCTGGACTAAATGATCTATTTCTACAAAGTGGCTGCTGTTGGGCTGTCTCTCAAAGCGCTCCTCCCATTCCCGTGAGGACCCTGGGCCCTGGGAGAAGGGCGGGCAGGAATCCTGGGGGTTGGCATAACCTTTAAGCCTCCTCAGCGACTCAGTCCTCCTTGGGGTGCGGGGGGATCTCCGAGCACAGCCCTTCTTCTCCTTTTCATCTTTATTTTTCTCCTGCTCCCTCTTCTCCTCGCTACGTGGGCTGATAGCTGCTCAAACTTTTAATTCAGATGGTAATTGAAATAATAATATGGGCTGAGG